CCCAGGCCCAGAGTTCAAGCCCCACGACCGACAAAAAAAAAAAGAATGGGGAAGGGCAACTCCAGTGAAGGGACACTGTGTCATTGCCTCTCCACACCCCTAGGACCTCATGCCCCTGTCTACTTCTATGAGTTCCAACACCGACCTAACTTCCATAAGGACATCAAGCCACCCTGTGTGAAGGCTGACCATGGCGATGAGATTCCCTTTCTCTTCAGATCCTTTCTTGGGACCCAAGGTGAGTTTTTTCTCATTCCCTAGAGCTGTGGTTATCTTCACTGTCCAGAAGAGGAAATGCTTGCCAAGAGAAGACTGGATCTGGTATGTACCATTTACAGCTCAAAAGCCTACAGGGGGTTTGAATCACTTTAAGCCCCTCCCCACTCCAGCCTAAGCTCTCTCCACCTTGCTCCATCCCACCTTGGAGTCTGGCGTAGGGACTGAGCAGGGGCCTTCCAAAGGCATGATTGTTTCTAAAGGACTTCTCAGGGTCAGGGGAAGACAGGAATTCTGGACACAGAGCAAATGCAGCCCCAAGGCTGCAAAGAGTAAAAGCAGGTTGAACAATAGGAGAGTCTGGACCTGAGTGCAGATAGAGGGCCTGGGGGCCCAGCATCAGGTCACAACTGGGTAGTAAAGATACAGCCCATCTGGACACCAGAATGGCATGACCAGGAAATGGACCATCATTCTCTTTGTAGTTGATCTCACTGAGGAGGAGGAGCTGCTGAGCAGAACAATGATGAAGTACTGGGCCAATTTTGCCCGGAATGGGTAAGTAGACACCCTGCTCGAACTTCACCATAGTGGGGTCTACCCAGTGCTCCCCTGTGTGTGTTTGCCTCATGAGCATGCATAGCCACAATTCAATTCCTGCCCTCTTCACAAGCCTAGGACCCATTCTGAGAGGGTACATGTGGGTAATGGTTTGTCTCTTAACCTCAGTGTCCTGGAGGGGGCGCTGTAGCTCTATGGTACTATGAGAGCCTGCCTCTTAAGACAGGAGAAAACAGGCCACAGGCCATTACTTATGTGAGAAGTTAATGCTTTCCCTTATCAGGAAAATTTCTCCTCATTCCCCACATATGGAGTTGCTGGGCTGCCTGACTTGATCAAATTCTGGGGGTTCCTGTCTGGACACAGCAGGACTCAGAGTGACCCTCACCTGCCCTGATGGGAGGGCATGCCCACAGGAACCCCAACAGCAAGGACCTGCTCCATTGGCCCATGTTTGACCAGAAGGAGCAGTACCTGCAACTGGACATCCATCCTTCCGTGGGCCAGGCCCTGAAGGCCTCCAGGCTGAAGTTCTGGACCAAGACCCTGCCCCAGAAGATCCAGGAGCTGAAGGAGGCTCAGAAGAAGCACACAGAGCTGTAGGAGCCTGTGTCGGGGAGGAATGGGCTTGAATGCAAGTGGGGTGAGCCTAAGGACCCCTCACACCCATTGAGGAGCAGAAATTCACTCCAAAATTCACATCCGTCCATTCAGCCAACATTTAGGAGGAACCCTTGTATGTTTCTAAATTCCCCCCAGGAAGCTGTGATTGGGAGACAAAACCTTCTACATTGTTCCGTGTCACCTGTGTCTACTCCCCTTCTCTCGTGTTCCTTCTCCTCCCTTATGACTTAGCAAGGTCCTCTGGAGACTATTTTCCAAACATGGGTAATAAACTCATGTCCATCCCTAAGTAAATTACCCATGTCCTCATACTCCCTAGGGGCCCAATTGAAAATCTTAACACCAGAAGCACAGTGTCTTAGTCCCTTTCACCCACTGTATCATAAGCACGTCCAAACAAATTTCTTTACTGGGTCATAAGTTAATAGCTCATATCCCAAGCTGGTGGCTTAAACCACACAGGGATTTACTGACAGCTCTAAGAAGTCTTTATGAAGGTGCCAGCTGAGGTGAGGACTTGCTTTCTGCTTTAAATATGATATCTACTCACTGTGGCCTCCTATCACAGAAGGGAAAAACAACCTCACACACAAGTATAATTTAGAGAAAGAGTATTAATCCATCTTCTGTGACTATCAGAACATTTCTGATGCTGAGTCTTATGAAGAGAAGAATGTCTTTTGGTTTTGAATGCAGAAGTGAGATTAAGATGCCACCATCTGTTGGGCTACTCATGAATGCCTGTTGGAGTGCACCACCACATGGCAGAAGTGGGAAACAAAATGACAAGTGCAGAAAAGGCAACTCCATGGGGTAGCCTTGCTTTAAGCTAATCTATAACTCCTTGGGGCTCATGAGAACTGCATCAATTCCTCCCACAAAACAATGACCCCAAAACCTAATACCTCCCAACAAGCCTTGCCTCATAAAGAGCCTCATGCATGCTGGGCAAGAGCTCTATCACTGAATTGCACACTCAGTCCAAGAGGTATGGGTGACATGTAATTAAATTAATCTCTTTTAGTTGTACAGTTAAGTAAACCTAAGTAAATATGGAGCATATACACCTACCACATCATCAAATTGGAAAATGTTGACTTCACTCCCAAGCCTTCTCTCATTTTCCTTGACAGTCAGTCATTACCTTGAACACTGCTTCAAAGCAATCATCTGATTGCTTCTGCTGCTGTAGTTCACCTTCTTTGCATGTGGTATAAATGGAATCTTTGTGATGGACTCTGTCACTTCACTTCTGAGATTTAAGCCATAGGTCTTTTCTTTCACTGTGGAGTGGCAGTCTGGATATGATGCACAGACATGCACGTATTTTATCCATTCAAAATTGATGCACATTCAAAATCCTTCCATTTTTAAATTTATTTATCTTTTCTTTTTTGTTATAGCCTAAGTTGGCTATGAACTCATAAACTGGTTGCATCCACCTATGAAGTACTAGATTATAGACATGCACCACCACGCCTAGGTTATAAATAAAGCTGTTATGGATATTTTCTGACTTGACTTTCTGTGCTACAAGCATTCATACTTTAAAATACTAATATGCATTTTTAATTTAAGTTTTGGTTAAGTCCTGAGAGTAGAATTATAAGTGTGCATTTAACTTTTAAGCAAAAACGTCAAACAATCTTGCAAAATGATTGCATCATTTGGCTTCTCCACCATAGATGAGGGTACCTGTTGCTCACTGGGCTTATGAGTCAAAATCTGATTGTATGGATTTACTGTGGTAGAGCTCACATTTAGCTTTGTTTCCAACTTCTCTCTGTGTCTCTATCTCTCTGTCTCTGTCTATGTACACAGAAGCACGTGTGTGCGTGCATGTACGCATGTTTCTGAGGCTCTTCAATTCCCTTTTTTCTAGAAATTTACTCTGATCTCAGCCACCATCAATGCCAGGGTGTCTGAATGATGGCGTGGGAAGGGGCAAGACATATAAGGATCTTTATGCGGAAGTACCACAGCAGTGGTGGAATTAGGAAGAATGGTGGTAATGTCCTAGTTAACAAAAAAAAAAAAAAAAAGGCACTGAGCTTCAAGAAGCTTGGGTCCCTCAGCTAAACAACCCAGCTATTAATTGAGTCAGAATGAAGGACAAAAAGACGTCTATTCAGGCAGAAGCTGAGACCATGGCTTGGGCCAGATGGGATTGCGTTGAAACCCCTGTATCCTTGCTAGTTGGGTAGAGGTCAAGTCAAGGAGAAGCAGTGGTCTCACTATGCTGGCTACTCAGACCTCAGTAACTGCAGTTACTCCCACAAAGGCTCGAAGAGGGAATGCAACATTGCTGAGCTCTGAGTGCCTCTGAGATGGCCTACAGAGCCAAAGATTGGGCTTTAGGGGGTGCTATAGACTACCTGGAGGTTGGATTTGACACCTTTTCTTTGGGAAGTCAGGGTGGTAGCCATTCCCACACCCAGGCTTACTTTCCTCCATCCACACAGCCCTTGGGATGTTTCAGAATCAATTGGTGACACCTTGCCTTCCCAAGGCACCAGAGGCCTAGAGAGTTCTGCCTGGTTCCTGGCTGCAGCACCAGCAGGCTCTTATTCCATGATCTTCCAGAGAATAAGTGATTGGAGCTCAGTGAGCAGGTGACAGAAGACCTGTGGAAGTGCCACAGTCACGTGTACATTTCAACCCATGGGTTTTTGTTTTGTTTTTGTTTTTTTTTTTTTTTGGTCGGTCGTGGGACTTGAACTCTGGGCCTGGACGCTGTCCCTCAGCTCTTCAGCTCAAGGCAAGCGCTCTACCACTTGAGCTACAGCGCCACTTCCTCACGTGTACATTTCAAAGAGCCAAAACTGGATGGAGAAGGGCAAACAGAGACCCTAAGAACCCAAACTATATGGCTTGAGGGACCCTTGAAGGGATCCAGTAAACTACAAGTCCCGACGGCCAAGAGGAGCTCTCAGGATGAGAGGCACAGTTGCCTAGAAGAAGGACACAGCAAGGGGCACTGTCTTCACTCAAACAATTTATTCCACCCCATCAAAGATAAACTCACTCAGCCTCTCTGGGGTACTGAGCATACTATTCCTCCAAAAAGCCCTGCTGCTCTGAAGGAATGCAGTGGCTCTAGATCAGAGTTGTGTCTCCCTTTATGGAAGGCAGATAAGAGAGGTGATCATGCTCTGCCTGCTGAACTCTCTCTCTTCCTATGATCTCTGCCTACTCAGGGCCACACTCCTACAACACCCACCTGGCACCTTGCCTACTTCCGTGTAGGTCCAAACTCCACCTCAGATGAAGCTTGATCCTTAGCAAATCTACCACAGACACAAGCCAGCAAGCAAACCATGTGGATGGACCGATATTCTTCATGGTTGAGCACCGTGACCTGTGGTCTTCTGCTTCCCCTCCTCTTGGTCCGAGGTGAGAATTTTTTAAATTTAATTTAATTGGTCATGTGGCTTGAACTCTGGGCCTGGGTACTGTCCCTCAATTCTTTAGCTCAAAGCAAGCACTCTACCACTTGAGCCACAGCACCACTTCCGGTTTTCTGGTGGTTTATTGGAGATAAGTGTCTCATGGACTTTCCTGCCTAGGCTGGCTTTGAACTGCAATCCTTAGGACTCAGCCTCCTGAGTAGCTAGAATTATAGGCGTGAGCCACTGGCACCCTGCTAAGGTGGGAATTCTTGAAGGTGTGATGGGAGCTAGAATCAGTTAAGCCACATGTTCAGAGGTAAAGCCTGAGATTTGGGCAAGCAAGCCTTCCAAAGGAAGGAGCCAGTTGTGGTAACAAACAAGAGTATGGGAATTTTGCATTCCCAACAGGTCCGAAGCACCTAGTGTGGACCTGAAAAGCAGAGAGAGAAAGTGTTGGGCCTGCTGGTGATTGAGATAATGAGTAGACAGCTGAGTGAGGAGGACTGGGAAGAGCCAGGATGGGTGATCTGAGAACTGGGCAGCTGGGGATCGGACTTTTCCTCTCGTGCTTCTAAGGACAATAGTAATATCTTCATGCAATCATTTATCCCTCCATTACAATGCCTTTGGTCTTTGGAAGCACGCAGGCACCCTCCAAAGAGGTCCCCAGAAAGTTACTAGCTCTGGAGGTACACCATCCCCTGATTTAAAAAGAAGCTGAAATAAGAGGCATCTGAGGCCTGACAAACGGGCACAGCTATGACTTGTTTTCCAGGGCAAAAAGCATGTGCCCTTTGTGATCTCCTAGCCCTTCTCAGGAACTTACGTCAAAAGGGCCCAATACCTAGGTGTGTGTTTGAAACCCTCAATCCCATTCACCCCAAGTTCTTGGAGAGGGATCTAACAATATCCTCCAACACTCTTCCAACTGATCTGCTCAAAAGAGTCCCCCTTCACCTCACCCACGACCTACCACTGTCTGGCTCCTTCACTTGTCTGCTCTTGACTAAATTCTGAGAGATCACCATGTCCTTTCAGGGAGAAAGATCTGCCTGGACCTCCCAGATGACTCTCATTTAAAATAGGAATTACGCTTGCACTCACATAGAGTTGTCCTCACTATTCAGGGAGATAAAATCCAAAACCTCCCAGCATATACCAAAATGTGCAGATGCTCTTTTATAGAATCTAAGCATATATACTTTCTTTGTATGTGTGTGTTTTTCTTGTCAGCCATGGGGCTTGAACTCAGGGCCTGGGTGCTGTCCCTGAGTTCTTTTGCTCAAGACTAGTACTCTACTACTTTGAGCCACAGCTCCACTTCCAGTGATTAATTGGAGGTAAGAGCCTCCTGAGTAGCTAGAATTATAGGTGTGAGTCACCGGCACTGGCCCTAAGTATATATTCTTTAAATTAAAAAAAAACTCTAGATTACCAGTGTACATGCAATATGGCAATACTATATTACTTAGGGAACAGCAAGAAAAAATTCTGTACATGGTCAAAACAGTCTCCAAAATTTTTCTGAATATTTTCAATATAAGGATATTAGACTATCTGGCATAGAGGGCTAATGGCAATTAACGAGCCATAGGGGAATAAATGGATCTGAACTTTTTTTTTATACCATCAATCCTGGCTTCTTCAAAACCATTGAATTCCCTAAGTCTTAAACACATTGATCTGGGTTTTGTTTGTTTGTTTTTTTGTTTTGTTTTTTAGCATACACATAGAATTCACAACCTTCAACCTCATCCGTAGGCACTAGGCAAAGTGTTCATTGCATATAAACAGAATTCAGAAGGACTGGGGAGGGAGGGCTGGTGTAACAGGTAAGAAGTATAGGAAGACATTGCAGATCAGAGGCCTTTGCCCAGCTGAGCTGTGAGTAGCAAGAAATAACAGGAGCCACAGTGATGGGGCACACCCAACCCTCATATGTATCTCTCCATCCACAGGCCAGGACCGAGCCAGCCCCATCAGAACCACACACACCGGGCAGGTGCGGGGCAGCCTTGTCCATGTGAATGACACCAATGTGGGAGTGCACACCTTCCTGGGCATTCCCTTTGCCAAGCCACCTGTAGGACCACTGCGGTTTGCCCCTCCTGAGCCCCCTGAACCATGGAGTGGTGTGAGGGATGCCACCTCCTACCCAGCCATGTAAGTTCTCCCTGGGAGCCCAGGGATGTCTGGGGTAGGACAGAGCTCTGGGTCAGACTGAGGGCTTCCGTCTGAAACTCACGGCCAGTTTCCCTTTGCATTGGGGAAATTTTCCATGTGTTTCTTGCTTGCTTGCATGCTTGCTAGTTCTGGGACTTGAACTCAGGGTCTCCAGATCTTGCTTCGCTTACTCTCTCAAGGCTAGTCCACTGTCACTTCAGTCACACCTCCACTACTGGCTTTTTTGCTCCGTAATAGAGTCAAGGATTTGTCTATACAAGCTGGCTTACAATTGCAATCGTCAGATCTCAGCCTCCTGAGTATCTAGTATATGGGTGAGCCACCAGCGCCAAGCATAATGTACATTCTTCTAATAAAAGTACTAAGGTTCAGAGGCTAGAACAACTTTGCCAGTCTCCATGTGGACAGTGTTATGGTAGATGCTCAAAAGAAGAGCAGAGACACACTTTTACTCTGAGCAAGTGTTTTCTTCTGTGCACCTGTGACTCCAGCAGAGGATGCTGTAGGTCCCTGAAGAGGGCAACAGTGGTGACTCTTTGGAAAAGCCAAGCATCACAATCACTGTGCCTACCCAAGGACCAGGTGCCACTGGCTAGGGAGCTAGATGGTGTGCATCCAGCTGTAGGAAGGGTAAGGCTCCCAGTCCTGGTTGGTGATCAGGAATACTCTACTACCCTAAGTGTAACCATTCATTCATACTGCCCCTGTGTGGTGACAGCTTCACTGCTCCAGCCTGAATGGGCACTGGGCGAAGCGGTGACTATCAAGCCCTGCAGCTAATGTTTCCCATAGAAACTCTAGGAATTAACATTTCCCAGGCTCAGGAGTAGGATCCCAAGGCCCCCAACAACCTTGAGGAAGGCTTTGGGTAGGAAGGGACTTTAGATAAGGGTCATGTGTCAACAGGACACCAGAGAGTCTAAAGGTTGCTGGGAGCCAGTCCAGATCCAGGGTATATCTTTGACACTGGACTGTCAGCTATTATGGTTGTAGGCATGGTGGTACATACCTATAATCTGAGTATTCTAGAGACTGAGGTAGGAAGATTGAAGTTAGAGATAAACCTGGGCCACAAGGAGGTTCTAGATCAGCCCATGCAGCTTGGTGAGCTCCTGACTAGAAATACTAGTAAATATATCTCGCATTGTTACCAGGTGCTTGCAAAATGCTGACACAATGAGAGAACTGGCTGTGACCTTGTTGAATCTGACCTTGCCTCACACTCCCGTATCCGAGGACTGCCTGTACCTCAACATCTACTCACCTGCCCATGCGCATGAGGGCTCTAACCTGCCTGTGAGTGTTAGATCACGGTCAGCTGGGTGGGAAGACATTTCTTCAGCATGATAATTAGCCTGGTCTCCACTACAGAGAGGACTCACTGTATGGCTTTTCCTATCAGATCCAAGAAGGCCTTCTCATCCATGCTAGGCAGCTGACCCATGGGTGTGGGGACACAGGAGGAGATCGACTAAGTCAGCGGCTAGAGCCCTGAAGTTCACTGAGTACTCTCATTCAACACTTGTGCCCAGGGGACTGAATCAAGTACCTAGAGGCTGTACTTTGAGTTTATCAAAAAGTCTAGGTACTGCTTATCTCTTCAGCCAGTACTGGTGAAGGATAAATAGATTTTCTTATAGGTTTATCAGGGAGACAGGCATTTTCTTCCAACTCTGGGGTGCTGAGACTTGTGAAGCCAAGCTTTGTTACATAGAGCAGACTAAAGGATGAGAGGCAGGGATTCCTAATTGATCTTGAAGCTTCAGCCAAGGCAAAGACCATACCACCTGCTGGGGTGTGTCATAAGGGTAAATATACAGAAGTAAGACCGTGGATAGTGTATGAAGTGGTCTAAAGAGGTTTGACCTGTGTGGGAGCCACATAGCACCTGTTTGAATTGTCCCAGGTGATGGTGTGGATCCATAGTGGTGCACTTGTGATGGGCATGGCTTCCTTGTATGATGGATCCAGGCTGGCAGCCACCGAGGATGTGGTGGTGGTCACTATCCAGTACCGCCTGGGAGTCCTGGGCTTCTTCAGGTGAGTGTGGGATTGAGCTGGGCAATGGGGGACAAGCAGAGCTGGACAGCCCTGTGACCCTTGTCTCTACCACTTCTCAGCACTGGAGACCAGCATGCCACTGGCAACTGGGGCTACCTGGACCAAGTGGCCGCCCTACGCTGGGTCCAACAGAATATCGCCCACTTTGGAGGCAACCCCAACCGTGTCACCATTTTTGGCCAGTCTGCAGGTGGCATTAGCGTGTCCTCACATGTCGTGTCCCCCATGTCCCAAGGACTCTTCCATGGTGCCATCATGGAGAGTGGGGTGGCCTTTTCTCCTTTCTTCATCTCCAGTTCCTCTGATGTGGTCTCCTCAGTGAGTACCTGCAATCATCCCTGGCCCAGACCTTCTGCTTCATCCTTCACTCTCAGATCCTCTGTTCTCTTTAGTAAAGAAACAAGCGCCATGAAGGCACCTTGGGGGCATTTCCTTTGGCTTTGTGGAGGGCTCAGTGGTCAACGTTCACACCTCTCTGCCTTACTGAGGCCACACATTTTCTGTGGCTAGAAAGCATGCTCCTAGAAGCTCTCATTATAGACAGAACCATGTAAACAGGGGGAATGGCTCCTTTGGCCAAAGCCTCTGAGCAACAGGGAAGTGGGAACTTCACTCCTGCAACCCCACACTCCATACCCTGGGAGATTTAGGAGCACTGCACCCATCTGGGTCTGGGCAAACCCTTTCTCCTGCCTGCAAGGATGAGGCAGCCCCTGCCTGGTTGCTTTCCAGATGGTGGCCAACCTGTCTGCCTGTGAGCAGGTGGACTCAGAGGCCCTGGTGCGCTGCCTGCGGGCCAAGAGTGAAGAGGAAATGCTGGCTATTACCAAGGTCAGTCTGAATGAGGTGGGCATGGAGAAGAGGCCAATGGGGAGCAGGGCAAAAGCGTAAATGGACTTTAAACTCACATAGACAGATGCTTCACCACTGTGTCCTGCCATTAGGCAGTACTAGATACGGAATTTTTAGTGTGGGTATTTGGAGATGATGCAGGAACAAGTTTCAGGAACTAATGAATATCTGAAGTTTTCTAAGCTTCAACTTGTTCCCTGTCTTTGAATGTCCCCTCAGGCATTCAAGATGATCCCTGGTGTGGTCGATGGGACCTTCCTACCCAGGCACCCCAAGGAGCTGCTGGCCTCTGCTCACTTTCAACGTGTCCCCATCATCATTGGTGTCAACACTGATGAGTTTGGCTGGGTTCTCCACAGAGTGAGGTCCATTCCATGTCCCTTTGCCTGGTGTTTGGTTACGGTTATAGCTTCAGGATCATTCAACCCAAGACTTTCCCCTTGCCTCCCAGGACATGAGCACCTCAAAAGAAATAGACAGAAAGACAATTCAGGCTATTCTACAAAACACATTGGAAATCATGGTGAGAGTTATTGGATGGCAAACAATAAAAAAGTCACCCTAAATGCCTTGCCCTTGTGACATGCCCCAGGAATAATGGCTGAAATATATTTGTCCTTATGGATGAGGTAATCCCAGTCTTTGGCCATTTCCCTCTTTACCTTGTGCAATCCATGCCCTATTCCTCCATCCTGAGGCTACTTGCCTAGGTATCTGCCTTACCTAACTCTTCCTTGTCCCTCTTGGCTAGATGTGGCCTGCTGAGTATGGTGAACTGCTGGAGGAAGAGTACTTAATAAACACTGAAGACCCCAAAATCATCCAAACTCGGTTCTGGGAGTTGATGGGAGATATCATCTTCGTGATACCTGCGCTCCAAGCAGCGAGTTTTCAGTGTGAGTTTTTCTGTGATAGAGGCCTAACTGTCTGAGGACAGCTCAGACCTATGGGCATCCGATGAAACTAGTATTGCCCCACTCCAAGCCAATTCTTTCCCAAGCCCCTGAGCCAAGATTTTGATGACCATCATCTCAGTAATTCCTATGAATTGACAGCATCACTCCTGTTTTATTTATCCAAAAACACACAGCTAGAAAAGCCAACGCTATGATTGCACCATGAAGGCCCTTCCCACTGGGTCTGTTCTAGTCTGGAACTCCCTAGGCTTTCGACTTGTCAACAAGAAGGAAGCATGACAGTTGTTGGTGGGGAGGGTAAAGCATCATGTCACTCCCTGTCCACACGTCCAGGTTCCCATGCCCCTGTTTATTTCTACGAGTTCCAGCACAAGCCCCACTTCCTCAAGAACATCAAGCCACCTCAAGTGAAGGCAGACCATGGTGATGAGGTTCCCTTCATCTTTGGAAGCATCTTTAGTGGCAGGAAGGGTGAGTCTTCCTCAATGTCTAGGGACTGGAATGGGTTTCACTCTTGTTCCTAAGGGGTGGTTGCCCTCATCTTCTAAATGAACATGCTGAAGCTCAAAGAGTAGACAGGGTCTTACAGTTTCAAGTGCTCCAAGGGGTTCACATCCAAGCCCCTTCCTACTCCAGGGTATGCCTGCTCCAGTGCCCACAACCCCAGCACAGAGCCAGACACGGGCTCAGATGGGAGTGATTCAAAACACTGAACCAGAGGAAAGAAGGGATTTGGGTGCCAGAAATGAGCATCATGTGGATTCAGCTTGCTGTTGGGAAGATTAATGGCAGGCTGAGCAATGGAAGAGCCTGGCTCTGAGTAGAGATGAAATGAAGGGGACCAGACCTGGGGTCCTGTCAGGCTACAGGGTGGATGGAAAACTTAGAACATGACAGGGTGGTGGGTAGCTACCTCAGGATCCTTGTTGTCCTCTGGGCAGTTAACTTCACTGAAGAAGAGAAACTTCTGAGCAGGAGGATGATGAAGTACTGGGCCAACTTTGCTCGAAATGGGTGAGAATGCCCCCAGCCCCACTTCCCCATGCTAAAGTCCACCTAGTGCTTTTCTTATCTGTAAGGGCCTCAGTAAGTTACACAAAAGCTGCATCTCTGATTCAAGAGAGGGCAGTCAGTATCCCTTACTCTGGCAAACTGGAATGCAGGCCACCTGGAATGCCTGGAAATATTGGCACTTGCTCTGTGAAGCATCGGGTGAAGCAGCCATGCATGAGGGATCCTTGTTTTCCTATCCCAGGAAGGCCCCTCCTCATCACCCCTCTGCTATGCTACTCCCCTTGATCCCAACCAGATGATTGGGTCTAGGCTCCCAAGGACTTAGAATGACCCTCACTGCCCTGCTGGGAGGGTGTGTGTCCACAGGAACCCCAACAGCGAGGACCTGATACATTGGCCCCTGTTTGATGAGAACAAGCAGTACCTACAGCTGGACATCCATCCTGCCGTAGGCCAGGCCCTGAAGGCCTCCAGGCTGAAGTTCTGGACCAAGATCCAGGAGCTGGAAGAGGCTGAGAAGAAGCACACAGAGCTGTAGGGAGGGATAACTGGGAGAGGTGGGCTTGAAGGCAGGTGCAATCAATAGGAGGGGCTCACACACCTACCAAGGAGCAATAGTTAACTCGACCGTTTGCTGAACCACTTGTCCCTTCTTCATTTGTCCACTTAGCCAACATGCATAAAGAACCCCCTGCATAATGCTTGTTCCAAGCCTGTCAAGGGTCATTTATTTGATTGTTCCATTGTGGTGGTGGTGGTGGTGGTGGTACCAGAAACAAGAGTTTCTGCTTGCTAGTCAAGTGCTCTTCATTTCACCTATGATCCCACCCCTTGTGTTTTTGTTTTTGAGATACAGTCTCCCCAATTTGGGTTTGTCTAGATCATATCTCCCAAATGGCTGGTATTTCAGGCATGCACTGCTACATTCAGTAAATGGATGCCCTTTCCTCCACATCCCATTGTGCTTGGCTCCCTTCCATCCTTCCCCTCATCTCTCCCACCCTTTCTCCTCTCCATCAATCCTTCTATACCCTCTCCAGATTGAGAAATGGGGTTTTTTTGTTTTTGTTTTTGTCTTGAGAATGTTGTCCCTACAAGTTATCAGAATCCTACATCAGCTTCTCAGAGATCCCTCACATTCTTATACCTGCAAGCGCCATTAGAGAACCTGGACAACAGAAGGCCTAGTGTCTCCAGCCATTCCAGCTGCTAAAACAAATATATCAAAAGCCAGCTAGTTTATACAAAATGGAAGCTTATTGCTCTCCATTTTAGACGGTGGGAAGTCCAGAATCAAGGTGACACAAGCTCTCTGTTAAGAGCTTGCTATCTGGTTCATAGATGGCACCTTATCATGGGCATTCAGGTGGCAAAGGGGGAAAATAAGCTCCCTTGGTCCTCTTATATGTCTTTTTGTCCATACTTAGACACCAGGTAGAGACAAAGACACTGTAAGGCCTGGGCTGAGAGACTGGACAAAGGTCAGAGACTCCCTTGGAGGGCATAGAACTCATGTACAATAAATACTTCACTATGTCCTGAGAGCTCGTTGAGCTCCTGTTGAGGACATGTTCTGTGTGGTGTTAGTTCCACTGATGCAGAGGAATCTTCCCCAAAGGGGCTCCCAGAGTACATTTTAGATTTTCAGTAGTAATCTTCCTTTTTAATAGCCTTATTGTTTACAATTAAGTTTGCAATTTAGATTCACCCATTCACCTGCCTCGTTTGGCAAATAGTCTGAGTGAATGTCAAAAATGTTAACCATGTTTGATTCATCTCAAAGCAGATCCTTGAACCCAGCCCAGGCAGATAAATCCATAAGACTCTCATCTCCAGAGAGGGTTCTAGATATCTTAGGGGGGCTGCAAGAAGCCAGATGTCACTTAGAAAGAGGCCAAAAGTGGCAGGGGAGAGTCACCACCTCATGGTCTATTTATCAACCTTTGCTGGCTCAGCACCACCTCCTGCCAAGCCCACTTTTCCCAGCCTTACCCCCCACCTTGCTGATTAGGTGGTGAGTGAAGACTAGATCTGTGAGAGACTGGAAGAAGGGAAAGTAGAGACACAATAGCAGCTGTTTGCTTAGCTATAAACAAGATATAAGAATGGGACAAGAGCTACAGGGCAATGGGCAGTGTGGTGATAGTTGATGAGAGAGGTACAGAAGAAGTTGGAGGTACCAAAGAGACATCCTGCAGGCTGGGGGTGGTCTCAGATATGGGGCTATGATGAGGAAAACAGGAAGAATAGGAGTCGGAAATTTTGTAGGCACATGTTCTTCAATACCAAACCACCTTCATTTGACCTTGGTAGTGACTGCCTCTTTAAAGTTTCTGTTCAAAGCTGGGCAGGGGTTTATGCCTATAATCCAGCCATTTGAGGAGAAAACTGGGAAGATCACAGTTCAAGTAGAGCCCACACAAAAAGTTAACAAGGCACCAATCTCAACAAACTAGCCAGGTGGTCTGTGCCTGGGATCCCAGCTAAGGAGGATACCAAAGGTAGGATCGTCACAGTCTGAGGATAGTCTGGACAAAAAGACTTAAAAAAGAAAAATAACGAAAGCAAAAGAAATGACTGAAGAATGTAGCTCAAGTGGTACAGCACGTGCCTAGTCAGCATGAGACTCTTAAGTTCAAACCTCAGTGTAACCAAAAATAAAAGCTAGATGCTAAATACATAGATGCTAAGTGGAGATAGATAGATAGATAGATAGATAGATAGATAGATAGATAGATAGATAGATAGATAGATAGATAGATAGATAGATAGAAAGATAGGCACAGGTGGCTTGTGACTGCAATACTAATTACTCAAGAGACTGAAGTCTGAAGAATGAGGTTCAAAGCCAGTTCAGGCAAAAAAAAAAGCCTGTAATATTCTTATCTCCAATTAACTAGAAAAAAGCCAAAAATGAAGCTGTGGCTCAATTGAAAGAGTAATAAAGCTAAGGGAGGATGCTCTGACCCTGAGATCAAGCCTGCAGTACCACCACACACACTAGATGAGAGAGAGAGAAAGAGAGAGAGAGAGAGAGAGATTAAATTTTCTACTCAATGGAGAAAAGCCTTATGGCATCTCAGAAATTCTAGAGGAGCCAGGCACTGGTGGCTCATGTCTATAATCCTACCTACTCAGGAAGCTGAGATCTGAGGATTGTTGTTTGAAGCCAGCCTAGACAGGAAAGTCAACAGCATGAAGTGGAAGTGTGGCTCAAGTGGTAGAGCGCTAGCCTTGAGCACAAAAACTTGACAGCACCTAGGCCCTGAGTTCAAGCCCCAGGACTGGAAAAAAGAAAGGAAGAAAGGAAGGAAAAGAGAGAGAGGGAGAGAGAGGGGAAGGAAAGAAGGAAGAAAGGAAGGAAGGAAGGAAGGAAGGAAGGAAGGAAGGAAGGAAGGAAGGAAGGAAGGAAGGAAGGAAGGAAGGAAAGAGGAATTCTGGAAAATGTTTACCCCTCCTATCATTAGGCAAGAGACTAGTTCTTCTTCTTTGTTTGAAGGAGTAGATGAGGCTGCTCTCTGTAGGGTCCTGGGACAGAGCCACCTGCCAAGTTCCTGGAGACACCCTCCACAGCTCTCAGCTGTGGTTCAAGCTGGCCAAGCACCCAGTAGACCTCAGTGGACCACTATGTAGTACATATGGTGCAGGTCCTGTAGGCTTTCAGAAAGTAAATATTATGAAGTTGTATTAGCTTTGCTCAAGATTTCAAAGAAAATTCTTTGAGGCCAGATAGAAGTTTACTACAGGGTCAAAGTCCCTGCAGAATCCCTCAATAGAGCAATGCCTAATAGAGCCAGAACAAAGACCCCAGAAAGGCAAGGGATAAAAACCAGCAGCAGACCACATCAAGTTTCGAAAGCTGCAGATTATACTGTGCAGTCCAGAAGAGTAATCACAGGTACCAGCCAAGCCACAGGCCTGGGACCTACTCCAGGTACTTGACTTGAGATTTAAGGTCTACGACCTTCCCTTCTGGGTTTCAGCCTTGGTTTGGGTCCAGTTAGCCATTGTGTCTTATAAGTAAGTACTTGTTTTTTAGTGGGTGGATATTTATTGTTGCTTTTTAATTGTGTGTGTGTGTGTGTGTGTGTGTGTGTGTGCCAGTGCTCTGTCCCTTACCTTCTTTTGCTAAAGGCTAGTTCTCTACTTCTTGAGCCATAGCTCCACTGCCAGCTTTTTTTTTTTGGGGGGGGGGGGTAAGTCCTGGTACTTGTATTCAGAGCCTGAGCACTGTCCCTGAGCTTCTTTTGCTCAAGGCTAGCACTCTACCACTTGAGCCACAAAACCACCTCCAGCTTTTTCTGTTTATGTGGTACTGAGGAACCAAACCCAGGGCTTCATGCATGTTAAGCAAGCACTCTACCACTAAGCCACATTCCCAGCCCTCCAGATTATTTTTTTTTTTGGTTGGTCGTAGGGCTGAACTCTGGGCTTGAGCGCTGTCTCTCAGCTCATCAGCTCAAGGCTAGCGCTCTACCACTTGAGCTACAGTGCCACTTCTGGTTTTCTGGTGGTTTATTGGAGATAAGAGTTTCATGGACTTTCCTGCCCGGGCTGGCTTTGAACTGCGATCCTCAGATCTCAGCCTCCTGAGTAGCTAGGATTACACAAGTGAGTCACTGGTACAAGGCCTGTTTTTTTTTTAAAACACTTTTACAGGAGTTCAGAACTGAGCGAATTTGCTTTGAGTCTTGGAGGAGGACTTTGAGTCTTGGACTTGGACTTTGAGTAATATAGGAACAAGCTGAGACTTTGGGACTAGTGTGGATGGAGTGAGTACATTTTGAACTGTGAGGGCATGAACCTTGGGGTCAATGTTGGAATGCCATGGCTCAACTGTTGTTTCTCCCCTCAAAGGTTCATGTGGTGAAAGCTTAGGCTGTAATGTAGCAATGGCTTTAGGAGTAAAAGCTGGTATGATTAGGTCATTAAGGGCATGTTCTTGGCAAGGATTGGGGCTCCAATGACTGAAAATTCCTATTTTATTTTTTCCGGTCAAGGGCCTTGAACTCTGGGCCTGGGCGCTGTCCCTCAGTTCTTCAGCTCAAGGCTAGCACTCTACTACTTGAGCCACAGTGCCACTTGCAGTTTTCTGAGTGGTTTAGTGAAGATAAGAGTTTCATGGACTTTCCTGCCCAAGCTGGCTTTGAACTGTGATCCTCAGATCTCAGCTTCCTGAGTAGCTAGGATTACAGGCATGAGCCACCGGCTCCCAGATTTAAATTCCTATTTTTGGAGATGGGATCTTTGTCTCCTGTACACATTCCTACTGTCCACCAAGAGCTCCTCATCAGGGCCCTCCTGAGTGGATATCATGTCTTTGAGTCTCCAGAATCCTGAGCTTAATAAGTCTAAAATATTAGCCTGCCTTGGAAGTGGAGCTGTGGCTCAAAGTGGTAGAGCTTTAACCCAGGCAAGTGAGTTCAAGCCCTATGACCAGAAAAAAAAAGCCAGCCTCCCTCAAATGGACTAATACCCATACAGGAGAATACTACTCAGCCATTATTAATATGAATACATACTACAACTTGGACGAAGTTGGGAAACGTGCTAATTGAAAGAAGCCAGAATCACTCATCATATGATTTGGGGGTAAAAGGTAGTTGTACTAGGGGTTGAATTCATGTTCTGTACTTAGCAGGCAGTCATTCTACCACTTGAGCTATTCCGTCAGTTCTTTTTTTACAATGGTTATTTTTGAGATAGAG